ATGACCTCTGAGGAAAAGTTTTTTAAAAATTGGCATATTTAGTCTTGAGAAAAGATTTCGGGGCGGGGGGGGGGAGATTCAATAACACTCTTCAAATATGTTAAGGGGTTTTAATAGAGTGGATTGTGATCAATTGTTCCCCATAACAACTGGCGGTAGGAGAGAAGTAATTGGCTTAATCTGCAGCAAGGGAGATTTAGGTTAGATATTAGAGAAAACTTTTAAACTATAAGCAGAGATGATTCATAACTGTTGACAGTGGGGGCACAATTTAAAGGTTCTGGTGGTATGCAATGGGGTTCAGAGCAGGGTATAACAACCGTGCCAGAAATCTTGGGGGGGGGGGTCACATGACTCCACACGCCCGTCCATGCGTTACCTCAGGGTAGGTAAGCTCTGCAATAGGCTTCCAAGAGAGGTTGTGGAATCCAGTGGTGGTTTTTAAGACGGATTAGACAAATATCTGTCAGGGATGGTCTAGGTCCTGCCACAGCACAGGGGGTTGGACTTGATGACTCTGAAGTCCCTCAAGCCCTATATTTCTATGATTCTTCCAGAGGAGACCTGAAAAAGCCCAAGGAAAAAGGGGGTGGAAGGAATAAGACTTGTTTTCATTGTTACTAAGACTAAACCAGAACCTGGTAGTGTTCACTGATTAGTCCAAACTGAACTGTAAGAATCCAGTCCTATGATGAGTACTGCACAGGCTAATCTCTAGACCAGTGTTTCCCAAACTTGGGACGCTATTTGTGTAGGGAAAGCTCCTGGTGGGCCGGGCCGGTTTGTTTACCTGCCCCGTCCGCAGGTTCGGCCGATCGCGGCTCCCAGTGGCAGCAGTTCGCTGCTCCAGGCCAATGGGAGCTGCTGGAAGGGGTACAGGCTGAGTTTGGGATACACTGCTCTAGACCAATATGGAAGTCAATAGGGCTCTGTGCAGATACTGGGGTCTGCTCCCATGTAGCTCAATGCATCACCAAATCTTAAATATTATATACACAAACTCACCAAGAACACACAATTCCCTATTTGCTGAGCCCCATGTGAAAATGCCTCAGACAAAAAAGAAAAATTAACAGGCTGCATTGTGCATTAGTTTAAAATATACCTCCACCATTTCAAATATAATTTTTCAAGGAAGAGCCTTTGCCTGCTCTCTTCTTCTCACTCCAACCTTGCATCTCATTTTTAAAAACATTCTAAGACTGTCTGTCCTTGGGGCTATGACAAAGTAAGGGATCTCAAAGGCTAACAGACAAAGAAAGATTGAGAGGAGCTAAAAAAAGTCTTTGAGCTGAGTCATGAAAGACTGCGTCAGTTATAAACATGTGTAAACCGGAAGAAAAATGTCATTGATTTATTAATTTAGCTGGATTAAATGGACTCCTGCCTGATGATAATGGTTAATAACTATGGCTAAGATTTTTAAAAGCAACTTGAGATTTGGGGTGCCTCCATTTTTAATTGCCCAGCATGAGACATCTTAGAGAGTCCTACTTTCAGAAAACAGATGCTCCGTCCTTCTGAAAAATCAGATTTTTTTTGGTCTTTCAAGATGCGTACCAAATTCGTGCTACCCAAAATCACTAATCAGCTTTGAAAATCTTGGTTTAGCAGTCTTCTGGGGAATAAAGGAGAAAGCAGCAGAAAGAGATCAGATCAGATACACCCTTTGACCATTCACAGTGTAGTCCACAAATGAACTTCTATCAGTGTCAGCTGGAGGTAACTGGAGATTTTCACAAAAATGCCTACAGCAAGCATAGTCAGGCTTTTGGCTGACTTTCCACAGAAAGTTCACCTCTTACACAAACATTTTGGACATCTCATTTACAGAAGTACAAATTCCACAAAGAGCAAAGAAATAAATGTTACATCTTAAAGGACCAAGATTAAAAAAACCAGAACTCGTTAGCCAGAGTGATGATTTCTCATCTGCTCACAAGTTGCTAAGAATATTTTAATCAAAAAGAAAAGAACCGTCTCCCTCAGATTGCTGTCTCCTTGATAATCTTAAATGGGAGTTAAAAAGTGCCTCTCAAATGCTCTTATGCTTTCAATCCAAGCAATAGTTTTGGCAGCTGTAAGCCCAGAGTGCGTCCATTTAAGATGATCAGAGGAAACAGGCTGACAGTGAGCTGATTAGAAAGCTCTTAGAGCCCCCTCCGCTGAAGAGGTAAAGGAGTATAACTTGCTTCATGTGCTGTCAGAGTGAGACCCCGGAGCACTGTTAGTTTGACTTGATATCCTTGGTGAGCTCATGTGTATTATATATATATATATATATAATTTAAAAAGGCCATTTAAAAAGCACACGGCAGCCAGCCCCTTGCCAGCCTTCCTGTTCCTGTCAGCTTTTGCTTTGAAGGAATGTTTGAAGATAACAAGGAAGGAAATAATGAAACAATATGGCAAAGGCTAGCTGAATTTGAAGGGACAACTGCAAGCTGTTTCCTGGCCTCAGCCTTATCTAAGGACTCCCAGAAAATAACCCTTGCTCAGTGTTCTATAAATAACTCATTGTGATCAGGGTGAAGAATTTAATTTAATTTTCCCAGTCAAGTTCTGGGAAATGGGACAAACTCTCCACCTGGATGAAGGCTAGCTTTATTTCTAGTTGCATGCATGGGATGGTGGAGAGGAGTTCTGTACAGAGTCCTTTGAAATATTTTCACAGAGAGTGAGTTAAGCAGCATTTAAGCACATTTTAAAGTACTGCATATGAAAATACATGTTTGAGGTGGGAAGCGAGCGTTAGAAGGCAAGAGTCCAAAAGCCTGGTAGAGAATTTTGAATGTACAAACCAACAGTCATTAAAACAAATTCAGCTGCAAAATAAAAATAGAGGGGGAAGTTATCTTGCTGTAGCCTGAGCGGCTCTTACCAGCAGAAAAGCTTTGGGCCCAGGATTTTCTTTCCAAAATGGCAGAAGACAGCTGACCTTAGCTCACAAGGAAAGTGAGAGGACAGAGGGGGAAGGCTCAGATCTGGTGAGAAACAAAAAGGTACTTCATAGATTTTAAGGCCAGAAGGCACCATTATGGTCATCTGACTTGACTTCCTGCATAACACAGGCCAAAGATTTCTGCATCAACTTCTGTTTGAGCTAGAGCATCTCTTTTCTGGGCTGCTGCCCAGCTGTCCCTTTACATACAGTAGTTTAGATTCAGACCCTGGAGCTGACAAGAAACTTCATACATCACCATAGTTTGAACAAATATTGCTCTACAGGCTACAACCAAGAGTGACTGTAGAGCTGCTAAGGACATGAGTACAAGTCAACCACTATAGAGGTTTTCCTTTCATTCGTGGGTCTGCTGAATGGCTGATTTCAGAATTACAATTCCCCACTATTTTTGTTGGTTCTGTGTTTTTATTAAACTTTTTAACAACTTTCCATAAGTACTACCATAGATCACAGTGAAACTTGAGCAAGAGTCCACACTTATTAGGCATCTGCCTGCCTTGAAAGACCACCCCATGGTATCCTCAAATGTGCTGGGTACAATTCTGTATCCCCTTCATTTAGAAAACCATTCTGTGCAACAGTGGATTTTTGCTGGTCCCTTGATTGGGGGGGACCACCAGTTCAGAAGCCTTTCACAAGCACAAAAATCCAGTTAGGCACAACCCAGCTCAACCTTACAATGGTATCTAGAAAACCTGCCACCTTAGATAAGATTTTTCTGTAGAGTGAAATGAGCGGGAGGAATACTCATAAAATCTTTGGTTGAGTTTGCTGGGGTCTGAGAGGCATCTGGGAGAATTATGGGTGGAATAGTGTATATGGTAGCCAGGCTAAGAGCAGTCCTAATTTATAGCCCCATTCTTAGCTATTAAACTTAGCCCGAAGCAGATACTGAAACAGAATTACATAAACAAGTAGAGAGCATTCCAATTCCAGTGTAGCCATCTCAGAGCATGTGGCTAGGGCAAATAAATGATTGTACATTAGCTGCTGTTCTTGAGGATTCATGATTTGGATATTGTATTTCTTTTTCTATAGCCTTTTTTATGAGCAAGAATACCACTTACAAAGGTTGCCTTGATGTTCCCAGATCCCTGGGGACATTTCTTCACCTTTTTGAAAGTCATTCTGTCTTCAGTTGCATATACGATTTTAAATAGGATACTGCAGCTGTGCCATGAAGAGACCACATTAGATAAAGCTTAACCATTTATATATCCAGGATAAACAAGCCAAACGGAGAAGAAAGGAAAACCTTGTGGTTGAGCTACTGGGACTTGGGAGATAAGGGTTCAGCTCCTCTGCACACTTCCAGTGTGACCGTGCGCAAGTCACGTTTATGAAATGGAGATAATAATGCTTCTGTACCTCACAGCAGTGACTGAAGTTCTCTGATTCTACAGTGAAGTGGGACATTTAATACAAGGAGAGAGAGGGCTGAACAGACCCTTCTCCCCAATTCAAAGCTTCACAACTGTGCCTTATTTCAAAGGCTTACTTTCTTCTAGTTTGGCTGGTTTTACAAATATCACAGCTTTGTGGGTGAACTGTTCTTTACTTGCTTTCTCATATATGTTAAATATTGTGTATCATGTTGTAAGCCCAGTAGTCAGAGGTGACACCCTGACTGTTTTATTTGCCAGTTGTCTGAAAATCATGTCCACAGTTATAGTCACTTTCTCCAACATGTGACGAACAATATATTGTCAAGGAACTGTGTAGATTTAGGGTATATCTGCACAGCACAAGCTGTGCATGGGCTAGCCTTTGCATGACTCCAGCTAGTGCAAGAAACAACAGTAGTAAAGACAATGCAATGTGGGCTTCAGCATGAGTATGTACGCTGTAGAAGTTACTCTGAAGATGTTATTTTCCATTAGTTGCCACATATGATGATATTTAAACAGGTTCTAATGCTACCATAACAGAGTTCTGTTGAAAGATCTTCCAGGTTTTAAACACAGATCCTGGAAGAAGTTAGGAGGAAGGAGAATGCTTCATCAATATAGATGGACTCATTTTTGTGCAGGGACCTGACCAGTTTCTTATAAACCCTCTGGAATTTTCCCAGTATTCCCAATGAATTAATATGCCCTGGATTGACATCACATAAAATGCTGTGAGGTGTCTGATCTTGGGGTACATTTCCTTATAAAAAGAGGATAAAATAACAGAAGTCAAGTGGAATGCTTCAGAATACAACAACATGTAGCTAGTCAGAGACTGACCAAGCTTTGAGGTTCTGTGCCAGAGATTGTAGACTTGGTTTGATCAGTCATGTGGTTAAAACACAGAGTAGAGCTTCTCCATTTGGGTAGGTCAAATCAGATGTGTAACACTGATGGTCTTATGTGACTGGTGAAAAAGTTCTGTAAAAATTACTAAGACAAAAAGGAAGGATGCTGTCTTAAGAGCCATTACATAACTAAAGCACCAGACTCCTTTGTTATATGCAACCAAGGTTCTTAAACCAGAAACCCATTTAATATTGGTTTCTTGAGCCAGTTTAACTAGGAGAGTGTCACAGGATTCCCTACTCACCGCCAGGGCACCTTCTTATGGCTGCATCTGGGGAATAGTTCCACCCAAACTGACACCTCCTCCTGTCTCTTGTTGGTGCTGTGGCCTCTTTCACACTCCAGGAGTTGGTCCTCTGGCAGGTAACTATACTGTCTTCCCCTTCTGGGGTAACAGGGTCTCACTGAATCAGCTTTCTGGGTGCCATTCCAGGCAGTCTTCCAACTCAGGACTGTGCCACTTTCCCAATGGCTGGTAAGGGAACCTGGGCCTGCCCACTATTCTGGGCTCCAGCCCAGGGACCCTGCAATCAGCAGCCAATGTCTGCATCGTCTCAACCCTTGCTGCTGCTTCCTTGGGCTTCTTCCTAATCCACCCTCTGCAGGCTTTCTCCACCACCCCTCAGAGTAAACTCTCTCCCTCAGGGTGAGGATCCCAGAGCTCGGGCGCTCCAGAGGTTTCCTCCTTCTCTCCTCACTAAGCGCAGAGATTGACTGCAGACCTCTACACTACAGCACCTTCTGTTCTCAGTTCCTGGCTTTATACAAGCCCCTACCTACTGCCTAGATGGGCTCTATCTTCAATTAGTGCTTGTCAGTCAAGCCTAAATCTTCCCCCATGTGCAGCCTCTCAGGTTAATTAGCCCTTTCTGAGCCACCTTAACCCCTCCAGGGGTGATTTGGGATGAACACCCCATCACAGGCAGCCTTCACAAATTCTGTAAAAGTGGAAAGGAATTTAAATATTTGATACTTCATTGGATCTTACAGAGTCCCAAATTCCCAGTCAGCACACATGTCCAGACTTTCATACTTTAAAATATATTAGTTTAGCTGAAGGTATACCAGAGTTTCTTGTGATGAGGAGGTTGAAGCTAGCCCAAGTGATAACTACACGAGAGAGATGTGAGTGACACTAAAAATAAATAAACGTCCAGGTATTCTTAACTCATGTCTATTGCTGTAATTTCTCCAAATGGAGGAATAATGGGCCCAGATATACAAACTCTTACTTATTCAGTCCCATAAACTTAAATGAGAAATAGGCAGCACTTGTGTAAAGGTTTTCCCAGGTGGGGGCCAAAGATATTAAACCTTAAATCAGCCTGAAAATCCATGTAATCAAAGGGCCTGATTCTCCTCTCACTTACAGACTTATGTCAATGGATCTCTTACAGATTCACACCAGTGTGTGTGAGAAGCGTTTCAGGCCACAGTTGTGTACAGTACATGCTTCACTGAATTATCCCAACTGGCAGAGAAAGAAAACCAATTGTGTATCAGACCTTGCTATTGTCTGAAATTGTGCTGTTTATTCATGAAATGTAAATAAAAACACATAAAAATCTCCTCTGCTGTCTGAATAAATTATTTGAGGCTGGTGTGAAGCAAGACACCGAACATTTTCAATCTACAGCTGAAAAAGGCCACAGGCCACCCATCTCTTGGATAATACTGCAAAGTGAAACTTGTACAAAGTAGGTGGAATATTGTATGCTACATTTTACTGGTTTGTGGAAATCAGAAGGCAAAATCTATTCCAGGAAGCACTAAACTGGTGATGAGCAAAGCTCAAAAGGTTCGGTTTGAATACTTTACCCAAGGTTATCTGAACAAGCCTCCCAGGTCCTGAGCCAGCAGTCTCTCACGGGCAGACACTTATGAGATTTGCAGGACTTCCTGCTTCTGGCTGGATTGGAAATACTGAAAGGGAACTTCTCTCATCATTTTTGGTACATCTATCTAGTAGAAACTAGGAAGTGTAGTGGTCATCAACAACCCATAGGACCCACACTGTGGAGGAACTACACATAGTGTAATTGTCTGGAAATCCCAATTATTTTTATATTATATTAGTATATTAATAAATAATAATAATAATAATAATTAATTAATTGGTATGATGGCAGCACCTAAGAATCCTAGTCATGCATCAGGGCCCCACTGTGCTAGGTGCTGTACAAACAGAACAAAAAGACAGTCCCTGCCAAGAAAGCTTACAATTAATATAAAAGATGAGGGAATGGCTACCACCAATCTCTGAAGACTCATCAGGTAGCAGAAGCTGGTAGGTGGCTATTAATGGCCTTCCCTGCAAAGAAGGAAACAATAAGTTGGGTTGGTCCTGGTGCTTAGTGGAAGGGGTGGGTGATGGAGCCCCTGTTCTGCATGACAAGATATGTCTATGGAGGTTTAGATTGGCAGTTTCAAACCTAAGCATGAATCTGAAGGAGCTGGTTTGCAAACCCAACTGTAACAAGTGCCAGTGACAAATGGACATGCAGGATTCACATAGGATTCTAAATACAGAACCAGGTCTCAACATCACTGATAAGAGACTTAGGGTATGTTTACACTTAAAATGCTAGAGTGGCACAGCTGCTACGCCACTGTAGCACTTCAGTATAGACACAACCTACATCAAGAGCAGGGGTTCTCCCATTGGCATAGGTAATCCACTTCCCTGATAGGCAGTAGATAGGTTGATAGAAGAATACTTCCGTCAACCTAACACTGTCTACACTGAGGGTTAGGTTGGTTTAGCTACATCTCTCAGGGATGTATGTTTTTCACACTCCTGAGAGACGTAGCTATACTGATTAAGTTTCTACTGTAGACCAGCCCTTAATTAGAAAAGTAGGAAATGTGTGTTCAATGGCACCCACAACTTTCTTGTTTGCCTGATGCTTCGACACCACCAGACAAAAAGAGGCTTGTGTTTTATGAGCCACTCTCATTTAAAACAGTCAGAAACCTGAGAAACGGCTGCTTCCATGATAGTAAAAAAGGAGAGGTAGAACGGTAGACAGGAGGCTGTCTCGGACATGGAGTCTAAAGATTTTTTTTTTAAGAGACATTGAATATACATTTAGTAACAAGCAAAAGAAAATCATTCATTCACCAATTTTTTATGGTGAAAATTACTTCAAGATTTATTCCATGTCAATGTGCAGAGCGTACTCCTGATATAAACTTTCACAGCAACACACACACCCAGAGGATCGAGAGGACATGCAGCTGGATGCATTCCAACAGTGGCACTAAATAACTTATGAAAATGATTAGCTATGTTTTAGCTGGAACTAAAACTAAATCTGGAGGTGAAAAGACAATCAACAAAGCCACAATGTTGAGACTCCTGAAATAGAAAACATCTGTCTCTAGAGGAAGCATTGGCTGGCCTTATACTTTGAGGTAGTGTGAAGAAGCAAATACTCCAGCTCAAATTCTCAGTAGAAGTTCAGAATTAATGAGCACAGGGAGAGATACTCATCTAAATAGGCAGGTTAGCGGTGGTGCATGCAGGAGGACCTCCCCATATCTTGTTTAAAATAATAATTGCCCCTTCTTTGGTGCTGGTCTTAAGTCCTCGTCAAGTCAATATAGGATGCATTTTGTCCCATATGTCAACAATTATCAAGCAAAGCATCATACACTGTGGCACAAATGTATGATTTTTACATTTTGCAGCACAAGTATAACATTGTGGGGTGCTCTCTTATAAAAGCAAATTTTGGCTTGTATTTTTCATACTGTTGTTCTTTATTTCTGTGTAGCATAGGTAATAACCATAAGTGCAGGAGAGCGGGAGAGAGGAATGACCCAAGATGTGAGAAGAATCATGCTTGCACTGTTGAAATGATGTAAACAAAGTCCTAGTATGCAGCATGGGAAAGTGTTTTTGGTATTTGGTTGCGGTGACTCTTAAGGGCTTGGGAGGAATCAATATGGTTCCAGCTAGACTGGCAAAGAAATCTGGTCAGCAATGAATGACTCTTTAGTACTGTATATTGTGACCAGCTGGAGAAACTGTTCAGCTGAAATTCACAAGGTTTGGATGGCTCTCAGTTAAGATTTAAACATTTCCAAGTCTAGTAAAGTTCAAAAAATATAAAATACAGAAAAATCATAAAACATAGACAAAGCAATCAGGAGACTATGCTATAGAACACACAAACAAAAAGCCTGATCAGAAGGAAGGAAGAAATGTGTGAGTCTTGCTTTTGACTGTATATTTTACTGTAGAGACAGAATACCACACAGGCACACTACAAAAATCAAAGCCAAATGATACTACTAGCAAAGTCCTCTAAATTTTAAGAGAGTTTTGCAAGAATGACAAGCCTTGTACACACTGCAATCCTGGCCTAAGTTAAGACGAAAGAGATAATTACCATATAAAGATACAAGTCACAAAAGAACTTCAAGATAACAAAGTGAAGTAGAGTATATAGGATCCCATGACTTCATTACAGTGAAGCAAATGCATTTCTGAATTCAATAACCAAATTCTGTCCATATAGTCACACAACTCAATGGGAGCTGTACATAATTATCTTTGGGCAGAAATTGTCCCATAATGCACAAGAAAATTGTGCTTTTTAAAGCCAGTAATTGTTTCCTATGGTTTCATAGAGCTGTGCCGATTAAGAAGAGCTTCTTATGTTATAACAGAGGGTCACGGAAACCATAGTAAAAGAGAAAAATGCAGGAAGATTATATGTTGTAAGAAGACTCAGAGGCAGTAAAGATGAACATTAAAAGAAAAACTGAATACAAATCTAGAATTTCTAAATTACCGTTGGCCCAAATGTCTGGCTTACCACTGAAATAGTGTAATTATAAAGCTGGCATAAAACAGGCCATGGATCTAGTTACTAATTTCTTACTAGCAATAGCAGCAAAACAGTTTCTGCCAGTAGCGGGTCTCTTGACAAAAACCTTGTGTCTTACACATGATGTGACCTATAGGGAAAACTGTTTTTAATCAGGCAAATCTATAAATGGTATGCAGTTGTGGTTTCTCGTCTCAGATGTCAAAAGGAACTGAGAAGAAAGTGGGGGATGAAATCTTCAGTGTAATTTTTGTTTTTAAAACTTAACTTTGTCTTTAAAAAACCCTTGTATTTCGAATGCAATTTTTGAGTTACCTTTGTTAACTAGTTCAATTACAACCGTAGTATCTCAGAAATATGCATGGAAAGCTTCCCAATAGGCTTATGTTAGCCCCAATTATGTTTTGAGTCCAAATGAAGGGTTTTTTTTCATGGTGGTAAGCCAGTCACTAAGGACTTCATACTCCAAAATACTTAACACTCCAATTCACACCAGCAAAGTACGTAAACACACACTTAACTTTAAGCACATGAATATGATCCCACTGAAGTCACAGGACTATTCTCCAAGTTAAGCATGTGCTTAAGTGCTTTGCTGGATCTGCCCACAGAACCATGGAGCATCAAGCCCTAAATAATCCTAAACTGAAGGTGTTTGTCATTTTTATTCACGACTACTGCAGTGAATGCACTAGCATCACTGAACTATCATGTCGGAATCTGGTAGTATGTGCCTATTGAGTAGAGCTGGTCAAAAAGTTTCGGTGCAAACTGTTTTGAGATGTCAATTTGGATTTTTGACAAAACTAACTTTTTTGCCGGATGTTCTGGCTTTCAACAGGGAAATTTGCATTTTTGATGAAAAACTGAAAACCCCAAAATTGAAAATTTTTGGCTAAAACCCAAACATTCATTTTTTGGCCAAAAATGTTCAATTTTTTAATGAAAAGTTGACATTTTCCACAGAATAAAACCCCATTCTCCAAGCAGCCCTGCTACTAAACAATGTTCATAACCTAAGGCAGCACGTGATATTCAGATTTTAATTACCAAAACATATTCCTGCTGATATAAAACAACTAGCCTTAACTTTATAGCATTTTCAAATCTTGAATCTCCACTTAAAATTTTAAATGCAGAAAACATGTGCTTTGTTTCTTCATAAATATTCTGTCTATCCTGGGTATATCTAAAGCACATATCACAGTGATATCTAAGGGCTGCTACAGTATTTAAATGTATGTAACATGTGGTTCATAGCCTATCTGAAAGTCATAAAAGGTTGGGTGCAGAAGCAGCTCCCAGGATAGCCAGTTTAGAGCCTTCAGGATGACTGTTGCAATGTAAAAATATTATGAAATCTCACTATTAAGTTCTTTTCAATATACAGCGACCATGTATAGTAGTGAAGTCCATTGTAAATAGGCATTTTAAAGCACACACCTTGCAGTACTGAGAGTATTTATGGGCTCCCAGATTTCCTGCTAATGGTTTCCTGAGTAAAATCGCTACTTGACATTGCAAGGGGGAAAAATGGTTGAGAGGGGACACACAAAGCTGGTAGCTAATTATTTTCAAAAACAAACAGAAACCTCCGAATTGAAGGAATACGTGTGTCTGTAAAAAAATTTATTAGCCACAAAGAGGTCAGAGTGACTTGTGCTTATAAAAACAGTTAAAAATACCGTTCTGCTAG